TAAACAACTTTAAAATGAAAATGACAGAATTATATTGTAAAATTTATTAAGATAACAGCATTTGTTTCTTAAGTGAAAAATCTAATTTTAAATTAGTTAAGCTTTTAAAAAAACTTTTTTAAAAATTGTCAATTTCGTCCCTTTTTGCAGCACCTAGCCCATAACTCTAATTACATAAAAAACTGTTGTTTTGATTTCACATTACACCAGATATTATGGGGTGCATCACAACACACCTGCGCAAAGTGATTAAAAATAGAGTTTTCTTAGTTAAATTATTAATAAAACAAAATCGATTCAATCTACTCATAATTTAAATACCAAGTAATTAATATTAAATTGAAATAAAATAAATTATGAGTATTATGCAAAGGTTACTACAAACGTGCATGATATAAGCGCAACGGAACAGAGTACAATTTTTATCAGACTTGAATGGTTTAGAAACTGTTGTTTTAGATGAACCAAAAGAAAAATTACTAAAAAAAGAATTAGACTCTTTTGTTAATGACAGGGTTTTACAAAAAAATTATCAATATTTCACAATACGATTGTATTTACAAACTTAAGTCATCTAATTGACTATTATTTTAACCATTGAATAAATAGTTAATGATTTCATGCTGTTTTAAATGAACGCTAACTAAAGCCAGATTAAATACACATCATAGTATTTCAGCATCGGTGGATGCTGAAATCAGTCACATGGTAAGTCAGTTAAGTGTCGATATTAAAAAGCGCATCATGTGCTTATTTAAATCCACTAATGCCATGCTTTATTTTTTTGAGCACTAAGAGACGAAGGATTTTTCATTATATTATTCCACAAATGTTTTGAAAGAATGAACTTTTCGAAGATTAATTCAAAAAGGAATCACAATAATTTGTCTTCGCATCAGTATCAAGTATCGTGAAAAGTATAAGAAACTTTATTAATTAACGTATTGCGTTGTTGATATCACTATAATTAAATTTTTAATCAAGAGAATCGTCATCAAATATCAATTAGTAAAACGGGCTGAGATATCTTGATATGCTAAACAGATATCTGGATTATCCAGATCCAAGCACTATTACAAGTTCACAATAATCTGCTAAATATTCTAGTGAAATACGCATCTTTTCATTTAATAGTTGATAGTTACGATTTATTTGGTTTCTTTTTTCTCTTTATTTTTGTTATAGAGTTGTTCTATTTTTTTAGCCAAATCGTCTAATGTTTTTTCCATCTTTTCAATATCAACTTTGTCTCTAAGAGGAATTGTTCTAAGAAGATTAGGATCAAAAAAAGGTGATTTATAGCCTGTCCATGATCCATTTTGAATTTTTCTCATAAATTCTCGAAGTTTATTTACATGAACCTCATAGAAACTAAATTTGAATATAATAAATTAATTAAATACCCATTAAAATATGGAAATAAATAAAAACTTACATAATATATGGAAACCAATTTTGCTTTCTTCTTTGAAAAGGTAACATATAAAATAATTCGATTTTGGTCAAAATCTGTTGATTAAAAATATAATATAATTTTAAGTAATTTGATAAGCAATAAAATTAGTAATAAAATTTGATACCTCAGCTTTTAGAATTAAAAATGATTCATTATTATTTGCTTCACTAATTGCATTAGTAAGCAGCCCAATAAACAAACTTATTAAATAAATTGTTAAAAAAAATGAAAATGCTATTCTTAAAAAAACTAAGCAAGCGTTATCATCTAGAACCCAAGGTGATAAAGGAGTTGAATCACCTATTAAATGCAATATTGGTTACAAAATGTATTCAAATATAAGCTTTGCCGATTATTATACAGTATTTATTAAAATTTACCTGTAATCATAATATAGACTGCCAAAATTGCTGTATTAAGTCTTGTAAACATGTTAGTATCTGAATCAGGAGGTTTAGTAATTGATATATTTTCATTTATAGTGCCATTTAAAAAAATAAATTTATAAGCTGTTGCTAGGTTCCATGGATTGTTAGTATCAGATGAATAGCTTGGGTGATCCAGTGATATTTCAACAGCGGGACGTAATAAGAGATGTAAAGAATGCGCAAAAGCAAACATTATAAATCCCAATATCATTAAAAATGAAAATACTTTTCGTGCTACTCCGAGAATTATTGCAAAATATACACCACAAAATTCAATAGCTCGGAAAAATAAAATGAATTTAACTTCAAGAAATAAAGAAGAAATAGCTAACATCTATGTTGATATAGTGCCATTTTCTATCCAAATTATTGATGTTAAAGTTGCTGATAAAATTGAGCGCAATTCTTTAAATAAATAAAATACATTGATAATGATTTATCAACATCTTTTACATATTTTTCTAACAAAATAAAAATTTTTAATTTACTATTATTGTTGGGAAAAAAAATAAGGTCAACATACCTTTATCAAAATTAGACGAAATTTCTAGTGATGCATTTGGTTTCTTTTTCTTTGTATTTCGGTCATTCTTATGATCCAATTCCCTTTTTTTGTGAAGTCTTTCTGAATATCGTGTCTTAGGTTTCACCCCTTCTGGTTCATTTCTATTATGACTCTCCTGCTCAATATCTGAATCTTGGTTCTTTATGTAGAGAATTTCGTCGAAATTCGGATTAATAAATAACTCACACTAATGTTATATTAACGTAATAACTTACACTAACGTTATACGAGGGCCCATTTTTTTGAAACCTCATTGAATATCGTGTTTTACGTTTCAATTTATTTAAACTTTCGATTTCACTCCTTTCTGGAGAATCACTATTATTTCTATTAGAACCCTCTTGCTCAATATCTGAGTTTTGGTTCTTTATTGGAAAATTTTGTTGAAATTCGAGTTAATAAATAACTACTTATATTAATAATAACTTACACTAATGTTATATGAGGGCTCATCATTATCATTAGCTGACATCGATACATCCATTTCCTCATTATTGTCGGGGTCATTACTGATGCTTTCTTCTTGCTGAATATTTTGTAATTTGTCAATATTAAATTGTGTTAATTAAATATTATAAATATTATTGAAATTTTGTTACCTGATTCTCATCAGAAAATTCATTATCTTGCTCATCAGTACATATGTTCTTTTGATACTTTTCCTTAATTCGTTTAGAACTTCGAAGAATTTTATTTATCTGACTATCTTTAGTCAGTTTGTTTTTT